CACAGCCGGGAGCACGAGCTGCATTCCCAGCAGAGCCGTGGCCGTGCGGGCTCCAGCGGGGAGCGGAGCTGGCCCCGGGCTGGGCCGAGCAGGGCTGGGAGTTGCTCTGTGAGCGCCCTTGGCACAGCTCCACACACACGGGGGGATCTGTCGGGCTCAATTGGCGAGTTCCTCCCGCAGCCCCGGGGAGCTCGTAAGTTCCTGAAACCTCCTTCCTGCCCGCATGGAAGTTACAAGACGTGACTGCTCTGCCAGCAGGGCTGGTAAATTCCAAGAAGCCCAGATGCTGGATTCACAGAAATTACAGCCCTGCTGACCACACTGGTGGAAGCAGAGATGTCTGGGAGTTCCATGAGCCTTTAGCTGTTTCTCCGTGTAATTTATAAGTTCCAATCGTGCATCTGCGTAAGGGCTTTGGCACAAACACCGGGGTTTGGTGGTTGCAGCCTCAGCCAGCACAGTGCACAAGCAGCTCTTGGAGCATTTCAAGTGCTGATGGTTCCTCAGCACAGCCTGGAAACCTGGTGGTCTCTGGGCAGGATGTTTTTGAGAGTGTCCCTCCCGTTGATTTAGCAACTTCGGGGGTGGGATGTAATTTATCACATCATTAATGACCTCCTACTTTTATTGGAGCCTAAAATTAATGACTCAGGGAGATAATAAATTCTGCCTCTCAGACCAGCAAGTTTGGAAACCTCTCTGTAATGTCTTGATGTGAAGGAAGATTGGAAATAGAAAAGTCAAGCTGTCAATTAATGAGAATATGATTGCTGTGATTTTTTTTCTATAGAAATATTTAGGTGACAACAGTTTCTAACTTTGTCCTCTGGTGAGAGACCAGACATGCTGTATTTGGATGGCAAAGAGGGGGATTTTAATTTTATGAAGTCAGGGTAAATTGGGTAAAACCATGTCTTACCCACAGAATTTAGAAGTGCCCTATCAACTTGAGATTGAGGAAACACTCCAGTTTCCTTATTGTATCTGACATTTGAAAAATCTGCCAGTAAAACAAATATAAAAATGCTGAGCTTTCCTTATGGACATCAGGCATTGCATTGCATTGACAGCTGGGATCAAAGGATCCTAAAGAATCTTGATGCCTTTTCCCTTCCCTTGTTTTTAATGTGTGTAGTTTAATACATAGGTGTTAATCTTTAATATGAATTGATGTGAGCCAGTAGAATACATGATATATATGGAAATAACGTGGCTGCCAGAATGGGCTGGAAAATGGCAGGAGAAAAAAGGAACTTTGTAGACAGTAAGAAAAATTGATTCAAATGGGATATTATTTATATCTATGTACCTTATCACTTAAAACTGTGTCTGTGTCATCAGGCAAACAACTGTAAAGGTAGAAAAGGAAATTTCTAGTTGGATCTGCATCTCCAGTGCCTTCCTGTATGTTCTTTTTGCAGACATGAGCAGTTTAGCTCTGAGGGTATCTCGGTGTGTTGGGGAGGTCGAATAAACTGATCAATCCTATAAAATATTCTGGAAATGCTTCCCTTGTGCTGATCTGCCCTCTGTTAGCTGGCACATGGGTTGTTAATCATTGCCCTTTCTCTGAAAAAGGGAACATGGCAATATATCTCTGTCAGGGCAGTTTTCCTGTGTCCATGGTCTCGTGAGCTGTTGCTCTTCTCTGCTGATGTTGCTCTTCCTTTGGGATGCTGTGGACAGTCATCTTCTGGGTGGCTGCTCTGCACATGTTCTTTCACATGTATAAAGTGAATTGGCAGTTGGGAATCTTCTTGATTTCCCCCCCCCCTTGATTGGCAACTGCCTCTTGTAATTAGGGATTGAATAGAATTTGCTGGAAGGAGCAAGAGGGTAGATTGGGGTGATTTCTAAGTTGGCCTTGGTGTGTGTGACACCAAAGGTAATTTTGTCAAAGCTATTGATGAATAAAACTTACCCTTTTTGATTAAAGTTTTCCCTTTTTGATTCAAGTTAACTCCTACTTTACAATCTTATTACTTGCCTTGTACATATCTCAAGTATAATGGTTGCAACTGCTAAGAGAGTAATTAAACTTCACAGGTTTCTTATTAAAGACTCAGCAAGGACACCCAAAAGCAGGAGAATTTGCAGTTAAGGCGATACAAATCCATCC